TTTTTAATTTTTCAGTTTTTCAATTTTTTATTTTTCACCTATAATTTTCCAAGATTTAACATTTTTTCATTTTCAAAATTTTGCTTTATTCAATTTTTATGTTTTACAATTTTCAATTTTGCTATAATCTATTCATTCTATTTTAAATTTTTTATCTTTCAGTGTCTGGTTTATAATTTCTCCATTTTCCAATGTAACAATTTTACAATGTTGAGATTTTTCAGTTTTCGATTTTAGAGTTTTCAATTTTTCTTTTTTAAATATTGAATTTTAAATTTAGCGATTTTTGGATTTTTGAGTTTTCAGTTTTTCATTTTTCAATAATTCGATTTTTCGTTTCTTTAATTTTTACATTTATCGAGTTGTCGATTTTTCCATTTTTCAGTTTTACAATTTTCGACGATTTCTTTTTTTTGTATTTTACATTTCCAGTTTTACGATTTTTCAATTTTAACACTTTTGTAATTTTTCGACTTTAAAGTTACGCAGTTTTTAATTTTTAGAAATTTTTCAATGTTTCGATTTTTTTATAATTGTATAATTTTTCGATTTTTCTAATTAACAAATTCTCATTTTTCGATTTTTCAGTTTTTCCATTTATAATTTTTCAATATTGTTAGTTTTCAGTTGTCCAGTTTTTCAAGTTTTTGATTCTTCAATTATACAATGGTGCAAATTTTCAATTTGTAAATGATCTGATTTTCAATGTTTACATGTCTTAATTTTGATTAGACAATTTCTCAATTTGAATTTTTCGTTTTGAGAACTTTTCAGTTTCTCAATTTTTGTTTCTTAAATTTTTCTATTTTTAGTTAATTTTTGACATTTCTTTTTCCTTCATTACTGAATTTTTTGATTTTTTAATTGTGTAATTTAGCAATTTTTGTATTTTTCGGTTTTTAAATTTTTCATTTTTTCAATTATTTAGTTTTCCGATTTTAAAATTTTTTACTTTGTTAATTTTTCGATTTTCACTTATAGAATTTCGAATTTGAATTTTTGGATTTTTCATTTTTACAACATTGTAATTCTCCAATTTCAATTATCCGATTTTTTTTCAAATTTTCAATATATTAATGTTTAATTTTTGAAGTTTTATGTAAATATATAATTTTTCTCGATTTCTAATCCTTTAGTTTCATATTTTGCAATTTTTTGATTTTTTAATTTTACAATTTTTCCGTTTTATATTTATATACTCGATCTTTCGTTTTTCAATTTTATAATTTTGCAATTTCTTGATTTTACAATTATCGGAATTTTTGTTTTTCCCCAGTTTTAGAACTTATAATTTTCGAATTTATATCTTACAATTTCTCGATTTTTAATTTTTCAGTTTTTCAATTTTCTATTTTTCACTTATAATTTTCCAAGATTTAATTATTTTTATTTTCACAATTTTGCTGTTTTCAATTTTTATGTTTTACAATTTTCAATTTTGCTATAGTCTATTCGATTTAAAATTTTTTATTTTTCAGTGTCTGGTTTATAATTTCTCCCTTTTCCAATGTAACAATTTTACAATGTTGAGATTTTTCAGTTTTCTATTTTAGAGTTTTCGATTTTTCTTTTTTAAATATTCAATTTTAACTTTAGAGATTTATGGATTTTTTGAGTTTTCAGTTTTTCATTTTTCAATAATTCGGTTTTTCGTTTCGTTAATTTTACATTAATCGATTTGTCGATTTTTCCATTTTTTAGTTTTACAATTTTCGATGATTTCTTTTTTTTTGAATTTTAGATTTCCAATTTTAAGATTTTTCAATTTTAACACTTTTGTAATTTCTCGACTTTAATATTACACAGATTTTAATTTTTATAAATTTTTAATTTTCAAAAATTTTATATAATTCTATAATATTTCGATTTTTCTAATTAACAAATTCTCATTTTTTAATTCTTCAGTTTTTCAATATTGTTAGTTTTCAGCTGTCCAGTTTCTCAAGTTTTTGATTTTTCAATTATGCAATGGTGCAAATTTTCGATTTTTAAATGATCTGATTTTCAATGTTTCCATGTCTTAATTTTTGATTAGGAAATTTCTCAATTTCAATTTTTCGTTTTTACAACTTTTCAGTTTCTCAATTTTTATTTCTTAAATTGTTCTATTTTCAGTTAATTTTTGATATTTCTTTTTCCTTAATTACTGAATTTTTCGATTTTTCAATTGTGTAATTAGCAATTTTTGTATTTTTAGGTTAATAAATTTTTCTATTTTTCAATTATTTGGTTTTCCGATTTTATAATTTTTTACTTTGTTCATTTTTCGATTTTTCACTTATAGAATTTTAAATTTTTCGGATTTTCGTGTTTCGAATTCGAATTTTTCGACTTTTCATTTTTACAACATTGTAATTCTCTGATTTCAAATTATCCGATTTTTTTTCAAATTTTCAATGTCTCAATGTTTAATTTTTGAAGTTTTTTTAATCGATTTCTAATCTTTCAGTTTTATATTTTGCAATTTTTTGATTTTTTAATTTTACAATTTTTCTGTTTTACAATGTATTCGATTTTTCGTTTTTTTGTTTTTGCAATATCTGTTTTTAATTTTTGGGTTGTTCACTGTTACAATTTTAGAAATTTTCGATTTGAGAGGTTTTTTTTTTATTTTCAGCTATTCCGTTTACCATTTTTTCATTTTTCAGTTTTATAATTTTGCAATTTCTTCATTTTACAATTATCCGAATTTTTGTTTTTCCCCATTTTTAAATCTTATAATTTTTCGAATTTACATCTTACAATTTTTCGATTTTTAATTTTTCAATTTTTCAATTTTTTATTTTTCCCTTATAATTTTCCAAGATTTAAAATTGTTTTATTTTCACATTTTTGCTTTTTTCAATTTTGTTATAATTTATTCGATTTTAAATTTTTTATTTTTCAGTGTCTGGTTTATAATTTCTCCATTTTCCAATGTGACAGTTTTCGATTTTAGAGTTCTCGTTTTTTTTTTAATTTTTCATTTTTCGGTTTATAAATTACCCAACATTTAATTTTTCAATTTCTCAATTTCTGATACCTGCTTCAATATTTTGATAGTTCAATTTTTGATTTTCCAATTACTCAATTTTTCAAATATTCTTCTTCCATTAATTGTTTTCGTTTCTCGTTGTTCAAATTTTAAATTTTTCAATTTTTGTGGATTTTCAGTTTTTCTTTTTAAATATTCAATTTTAAATTTAGCGATTTTTGGATTTTTTGAGTTTTCAGTTTTTTATTTTTCAATAATTTGATTTTTCGTTTCTTTAATTATTTTTCCATTTATCGATTGTCAATTTTTTCATTTTTCAGTTTTGCAATTTTCGATGATTTCTTTTTTGTAATTTTTAGAAATTTTTCAATGTAGCGATTTTTAATTTTTAAAAATTTTATTTAATTGTATAATTTTTCGAATATTCTAATTAACAAATTCTCATTTTTCAATTTTTCAGTTTTTCCTTTTTTAATTTTTCAATATTGTTAGTTTTCAGCTGTCCAGTTTTGAAGTTTTTGATTTTTCAATTATACTATGGTGCAAATTTTCAATGTCTTAATTTTTGGTTAGGCAATTTCTCAATTTGAATTTCTTAAATTTTTCTATTTTCAGTTAATTTTTGATATTTTTTTTCCTTAATTTCATAATTTTTTGATTTTTCAATTGCATAATTTAGCAATTTTTGTATTTTTAGGTTATTATATCTTTCAATTTTTCAATGATTTAGTTTCCCGATTTTAAAATTTTTTACTTTGTTAATTTTTCGGTTTTTCACTTATAGAATCTTAAATTTCTCGGATTTTCGTGTTTCGAATTCGAATTTTTTGATTTTTTATATTTACAATTTTTCCAGTTTACATTTTATGTACTCGATTTTTCGTTTTTGTGTTTTTTTGTTTTTGCAATATCTGTTTTTAATTTCTGAGTTGTTCACTGTTACAATTTTACAAATTTTCGATTTTAGAGGTTTTTTTTTATTTTCAGCTAATCCGTTTACCATTTTTCGATTTTTCAGTTTTATAATTTTGCAATTTCTTTATTATTACTATTTTGCTAGTTTTTGATTTTCCGATATTTCATTTTTTTTCAATCTTACTATTTTATAATTTCTTATCAGATTTTTCTATTTTTGGATTTTTTGATTGCTGGATTTTTTAATTTTTGTTTTCATTTTTAAATTTTATAATTTTCGATTTTTCATTTTACAATTGTCTAATCCCCAAAAATTTTGGTTTGTCAATTTTGCAATTCTCAGATTTGTCAAGTTTTTTGATTTTTTGATTTTACAATTTCTGGATTTTTAATTTTTCAAATTTATAAACTTGCAGTGGTCTGCTTTCTCAATATTGTGATTTTTGACTTTCTCGTTCTTAACTTTTCTTTTAAGTTTTGCAATTTTTCGATTATTTAATTATTTTTCAATTTTAAAATTTTTCATTTTTTCATGTTGTTTTTCTGATGTTTAATTTTTTACTTTTTCAGTTTCCCGATTTTTCAGCAAAGAAAACTAATTTATTTAAACAGAAATTTTGAAAAATTGTGAGCAGGGATTTTGATTTCGTGTCTTCCTAAAATATGAAAATTGAAAAATCGGCAAATCGAAAATTCAACGGTGCGAAATCTGAAAATTGAAGAAACAATTGAAAAATGGAAAAAATAAAAAATTGAAAAAGTGTAAAATACAAATAGAAAAAATGCAAAACAAAGTCGAAAAATGAAAAAATCGCAAAAATCGAAAAATTGAGAAACCGCAAAATCCACACCTGCATTTTTCCCTTAAAATTAAACCTCCCCTTTCCTCGCCCCGCTTAATTCCAACCCCACACAAAGGTCGCGAGCTTAAAGCGCAATTTCCTGGAACTCCGTTCAGATTTTCATGAGAATTAGGAGCAATCTCGGCGTTCTATTTAAGCTCGTTTACGACGAGGTAGAGTTGGAAAAACAGGTTCAAAACTGTGCGAAACATCCCGCAGGACCCCCTCAAGAAGAGTTGCATCCCTCCGGCTAGCACTTGTCTACATACCAGTCTGGCTGTCGCACATCCACTCCCGGCAGCACTGCTCCGGAACATCCACCAGTCTGGGGTGTTGACAGCTCCCCCTGGGCGAAATGTGTTCCTGCGGGCACAGCGACGAGCACCCATACGTTCCATTCTGTCGAAATAAAAGCCGATCAGTATCGCTCCCGGAAACGCCCGGAGAAATCCGGTGATCGCGCCACCTCAAATAGCGAATGTAAAGCCGGGGTCGGCGACGTGAGGCACGTCGAGGCTGGTAAAGTTTTAAATGTAGCGAATGTGTTATATTCCACCCCCTTCTTCTAAAATTTCCCTTTTTATTTTACGGTGCTAAAGAAAATTTTCAACTTTTCTTTTTTCTATATTTCGATTTTCATTTCTTTGATTTAAAATTTTTTTTTAGTTCCAGATTTCCAATTTTACAATGTTTCAGTTTTAACACTTTTCTAATTTCGTGACTTTAAAATTACACAACTTTATATTTTCACGAATTTTTCAATGTTTTGATTTTTAATTTTTGAAATTTATATATATCTAATTAACAAATTCTCGATTTTCAATTATTCAGTTTTTCCATTTGTCATTTTTCAACATTGTTATTTTTCAACTATCCAATTTTTTAATTTTTCAATTTTACAATAGCGCAAATTTTCAATTTGTAAATTATCTGATTTTTAATTTCTCCATGTATTAATTTTTTATGATGGAATTTTTCAATTTGAATTTTTCGTTTTCACAACTTTTCAATTTCTAAATTTTTATTTTTTTGTTTTTCAATTCTAAAATTTAGCAATTTTTGTAGTTTTAGATTATTCAATTTTTGAATTTTTCAATTATTTGGTTTTTTGATTTTTAAATTTTTGCTTTCTAGTTTTTTCATTTTTCACTTATAGAATTCGGACTCGAAATTTTCGATTTTTCACTCCTACAATATTGCAGTTCGTCAATTTCGAATTATCCGATTTTTTTTTCAAATTTCATTTTCAATGTTTGGATGTTTAATTTTTGGAGTTTTGTATAGGTAATTATATAATTTTCCTGTTTCTGGTATAAAATTTCTCCATTTTTAATCTTTCAGTTTTATATTTTGAAATTTTACAATTTTTCGATATTTTAATTGTGCAATTATTTTTGTTTTTAGAGTTTTAAATAATCAGTTTCATAATCTTGCAATTTTTCGTTTTCACAACATTTCAATTTCTCAATTTTATTTCTTAAATTGTTCTATTTTCAGTTGTTTTTTGATATTTCTTTATTCTTAATTATTCAATTTTTTGGTTTTTTAATTTTATAATTTAGCAATCAAATTTTTCGATATTTCGATTAATTGGTTTTTCGATTTTTCTGATTATTGTGTTTAGAATTCGAAATTTTCGATTTTTCATTTTTACAATATTGCAATTTCTCGATTTCAAATCTTCCGATTTTTTTTTTAATTTCATTTTGTATATTTGTATTTTGTAGTTTTATATAATTATATAGTTTTTCTGCTTCTGTTATAATTGTTTCTCGATTTTCAGTCTTTAAATTTTATGTTCTGAAATTTTTCAATTATTTGATTTTTTAATTTTGCAATTTTTCCGTTTTTAGATGTTTAACTATTCGATCTTGCTATAAATGCAAAAATAAGAAAGTCGAAATCTTGAAAAACTATAATTGAAAACTTAAAAATGCAAAAGACAGATGAAAAAAAAAACAAAAAATGAAAAATCGGGTTATTATAAAATGAAGAAATTGCAAAACTGTAAAACTGAAAAATTGAAAAATTAAAAAAAAAATTGAAAAATCTAAAATCAAAAACAGAAAAATCTCAACATTGTAAAATTGTTACATTGGAAAATGGAGAAATTATAAACCAGACACTGAAAAATAAAAAAATTAAAATCGAATAGATTATAGCAAAATTGAAAATTGTAAAACATAAAAATTGAATAAAGAAAAATTGTGAAAATAAAAAAAATTAAATCTTGCAAAATTATAAAATTGAAAAATCGAAAAATGGTAAAGGGAATAGCTGAAACTAAAAAAAATATGTAAAATTAAAAAATCAAAAAATATAAAACTGAAAGATTGGAAATCGGGAAAAATGATATATTTACATAAAACTTTAAAAATTTAACATTAAGACATTGAAAACTTGAAAAAAAATCGGATAATTTGAAATCGGCGAATTACAATGTTATAAAAATGAAAAATCGAAAAATTCGAATTCGAAACACGAAAATCCGAAAAATTTAAAATTCTGTAAGTGAACAATCGAAAAATTAAAGTAAAAAATTTTAAAATCGCAAAACGAAGTAATTGTAAAATTGAAAAATTTAATAACCTAAAAATACAAAAATTGCTAAATTACACAATTGAAAAATAAAAAAATTCAGTAATTAAGGAAAAAGAAATATCAAAAATTAAATGAAAATAGAAAAATTTAAGAAATAAAAATTGAGAAACTGAAAAGTTGTAAAAACGAAAAATTCAGATTGGGAAATCGCCTAATCAAAAATTAAGACATGGAAAATTGTATAATTGAAAAATCAAAAACTTGAAAAACTGTACAGCTGAAAACTAACAATGTTGAAAAATTAAAAATGGGAAAACTGAAAAATTGAAAAATGAGAATTTGTTAATAAGAATAATCGAAAAATTATACAATTATATAAAAGTTATAAAAATTAAAAATCGAAACATTGAAAAATTTCTAAAAATTAAAAACTGTGTAATTTTAAAGTCGAGAAATTACAAAAGTGTTAAAATTGAAAAATCGTAAATCGGAAATCTAAGATTAAAAAAAAATCATCGAAAATTGTAAAACTGAAAAATTGAAAAATCCAAAAATCTAAATTGAATATTTAAAAAAGAAAAATTGAAAATCGACTAAAAATGGAAAAATTTAGAATTTGAACAACGAAAATCGAAAACGATTAATAGAAAAAGAATATCTGAAAAATTGGGTAATCGAAAAATAAAAAATTGAACGATTTTTCAATTATCCAATTTTTAAGTACTATATTTCCATTTCAATTTTTCGTTTTTAAGAGTTTTAATTTTTCTATTTTTAGTCAATTGGCAACTTTTCTTTTTTGAATATTCGATTTTAAATTTAGCGATTTTTGGATTTGGTGAGTTTTCAGTTTTTCATCTTTCTATATTTCGATTTTTCGTTTCTTTGATTTTTAAATTTTTCCGTTTTTCTGTTTTACAATTTTCGATTTTCATTTTTTTTTAGTTCTAGATTTCCAATTTTACGGTTTTTTAGTTTTAACACTTTCGTGACTTTAAAATTACACAACTTTAATTTTTCACGAATTTTTCAATGTTTCAATTTTTAATTTTTGAAATTTTATATAATTGTATAATTTTTCAGTTATCCTAATTAACAAATACTCGATTTTCAATTATTCAGTTTTCAACATTGTTATTTTTCAACTAGCCAATTTTCAATTTTTTAATTTTTCAATTTTACAATGATGCAAATTTTCAATTTGTAAATTATCCGATTTTTAATTTCTCCATATATTAATTTTTTATGATGGAATTTTTCAATTTCAATTTTTCGTTTTCAACACTTTTCAATTTCTTAATTTTTATTTTTAAAATGTTTCTATTTTCAGATAATTTTTGATATTTCTTTTTTCTTAATTATTCAGTTTTTTGTTTTTCAATTCTAAAATTTAGCAATTTTTGTAGTTTTAGATTATTCAATTTTTCAATTTTTCAATTATTTGGTTTTTCGATTTTTAAATTTTTGCTTTCAATTTTTTTCATTTTTCACTTATAGAATTCGTAGTCGAAATTTTCGATTTTTCACTCCTACAATATTGCAATTCGTCAATTTCGAATTATCCGATTTTTTTTTTAAATTTCATTTTCAATATTTGGATGTTTAATTTTTGGAGTTTTGTATAGGTAATTATATAATTTTCCTGTTTCTGGTATAAAATTTCTCCATTTTTAATCTTTCAGTTTTATATTTTGAAATTTATCAATTTTTCGATATTTTAATTGTGCAATTATTTCTGTTTTTAGAGTTTTAAATAATCAGTTTCATAATCTTGCAATTTTTCGTTTTCACAACATTTCAATTTCTCAATTTTTATTTCTTAAATTGTTCTATTTTCAGTCGTTTTTTGATATTTCTTTATTCTTAATTATTCAATTTTTTGGTTTTTTAATTTTATAATTTTGCAATCAAATTTTTCGATATTTCGATTAATTGGTTTTTCGATTTTTCTGATTATCGTCTTTAGAATTCGAAATTTTCAATTTTTCATTTTTACAATGTTGCAATTTCTCGATTTCAAATCATCCGATTTTTTTTTTAATTTCATTTCGAATATTTGTATTTTGTAGTTTTATATAATTATATAGTTTTTCTGTTTCTGTTATAATTGTTTCTAGATTTTCAGTCTTTAAATTTTATGTTCTGAAATTTTTCAATTATTTGATTTTTTAATTTTGCAATTTTTCCGTTTTTAGATGTTTAACTATTCGATCTTGCTATAAATGCAAAAATAAGAAAGTCGAAATCTTGAAAAACTATAATTGAAAACTTAAAAATGCAAAAGACAGATGAAAAAAAAAAACAAAAAATGAAAAATCGGGTTATTATAAAATGAAGAAATTGCAAAACTGTAAAACTGAAAAATTGAAAAATTAAAAAAAAAATTGAAAAATCTAAAATCAAAAACAGAAAAATCTCAACATTGTAAAATTGTTACATTGGAAATGGAGAAATTATAAACCAGACACTGAAAAATAAAAAAATTAAAATCGAATAGATTATAGCAAAATTGAAAATTGTAAAACATAAAAATTGAATAAAGAAAAATTGTGAAAATAAAAAAAAATTAAATCTTGCAAAATTATAAAATTGAAAAATCGAAAAATGGTAAAGGGAATAGCTGAAACTAAAAAAAATATGTAAAATTAAAAAATCAAAAAATATAAAACTGAAAGATTGGAAATCGGGAAAAATGATATATTTACATAAAACTTTAAAAATTTAACATTAAGACATTGAAAACTTGAAAAAAAATCGGATAATTTGAAATCGGCGAATTACAATGTTATAAAAATGAAAAATCGAAAAATTCGAATTCGAAACACGAAAATCCGAAAAATTTAAAATTTTGTAAGTGA